TGGGGGGCTCGCGGCTTCCCGCAGCCGGGCAGAGCGGCCCCCACGGGGCAGACGTGAATCTTCCCCGAGAGCCGAAGCAGAGGAGGGATCTCGCACGGGAATGGAGGAAGCTGACGGGGCCGGGGAGCGCGAGGGCTGCATTCCCCACCTCCGCGGCAGTCCGTGTCTGCGCTGTACAGAGGGGAGCCGGGGCCTTGTCCCCTCTCAAGAGCCGGGGAAAAGTCACAGTGGGAAGGTGGTTAAACACATATCCGTTCAGTTTGTCTGGCCCTAACGAGTCCTGCAGTGAAGTTACCTGAAATTCTCTCCTTAGCTTCTTTGGAGACTTGGAGAAGCGGCACCAGGAAAACCTCCTGATTCCTGACATCAGCGACATAGTGGAAGAACACGCCTTGAACCGCTTCAACCCCTACGTCAGCTACTGCTCCAATGAAGTCTACCAGCAGAGGACCCTCCAGAAGCTGCTGTGAGTCCCGCCGTGGCTCGGGCCTTGGGCTGGCAAGGACTGTGTACAAGGGGGCTCTGGGCTGCCGGGATGCCAGCCGGCTGCGGACGGGACCGTGACTTGCAGGCGGGTCCCTCAGCCTCTGTCACGTCCTTTTCCCTAAGGAAGGCTTCTCCCTTCCGAGTGGAGTTCACCTTCTAGACCCCAGCGGTCTGTCGGGTGCTGTGAGATGGGCGAAGGACCCCTCTAGGGGTCCCTTCCAACCCAAAACATTCTATGATTCTATAAGCGGGGGTAATGCTCCGGGCACTGAAGTCAGACGGGTCTTGCTGAGGTCAGGACACGTACGGGGTGTGTTAGGGACATCTATGCAGGCTGTTCATCTCCAGATCGTGCGGCTGGTACAGGCCGAGTTTGCGTCCACTGTTGGTACATCTGCGCCTTTACCCGCCTTTCGGTGGTCTCAACATCTCCAGGTGCTTTTCCATCGCCGGCTAGCGGGTCCGTCCGTTTTCCGCCCCTGCCGTGTGCTCTGAGCTCAGCGGCCGTGCCGTCGCTGTGCTGTGTTTCTCGTGCGTGGAAAGCCGCTGGAAAGTCTTGGTAACTGAAGAACAGAGTTAATGGAGGTTTCTTGTCCTGTTCCAGAACCACAAACCCCTTATTTAAAGAGACCTTGAAACAAATTGAAAGGAAACCAGAATGTGGAGGCCTGCCAATGATCTCATTTCTCATTCTCCCTATGCAGAGGGTAACACGGCTTCCTCTGCTCTTAGATGTAAGTAAGTCGGGCGGCGGCATCGCTTGGCGCCTCTGAGGAGGTGACTCTGTTATTCCCTTCTTCGGTTTGCTGAGCCCGGGACAGCCGCCTGCTTGGACTTCCATCCCTCTGGCAGCCGAGTCTGGGATGCCCGAGCCTTTATTCAGGATTTAGCAGAGCGGTCTGCACCTTGCGGGTGTCCGAGGTGCAGCTTAAAGCTGTGGGAATAACGCTTGGCATCTCAGCACCACCCCCTGAGTGACACGAGGTTCTTCCGTGCCCCGGGCTGCCTCTGGACGCCCAGGGTGGGGTGGCACGAGCGTCCGGTTTCGTTAGTGGTCAGGTGGCCCAGGAGGGGGAAGCAGGTCTTGCACAAGCTTCATTGACATCTGGGACTTCTGGACCCAGCTGCTCTAAACAGCAAAGCTGCTGGACCTGGGATTGCTGCTCCCAGCCTGTAACGGGCTGCGGGAGCGAGGGGCAGGGGGATGCCCGCTGCGCGGGGTGATGGCGATGGTCAGGCACGTCCCTGATGTGAAAGCCCCAGCAGAAACCAGATTCACAGTTCCCAGCACTGTTAAACCTTGCTTTGACTGCAGGCCTGTCCTGCTAGCCGGGCTGAGCCTCGGGAACGGCTCGAGCGCGTGTCGCATCCTGAGATCCCAGGTTGATGCACGGTTCTGTGTCTTGCAATATCACTAAAGCATCTTATCTTGACGTTCTAGACTGTCTGTCAAAAAACAAAAGCATGCACTGCAGCGTACGGAGCTGCCGCCAGAGCTCTGAAAGCCATCAGCAAGGTGAGGCCCGGCTGCCAGCTCTCCACCTCTCCTCCTCCCAGCGCACCGTTCCCTCGCTCCGGCCCCGAGCCTGCCGTTCCGGCCTCTGGTTTTCCTTCTTGCGTTGGGTCACTGAGACTTCTCTGCTCCAAAGAGCTGCTGGGTGTACACGGCTTCTCCCTTGCTCACCTTTTTCACCTGATCTTGTTTTTTCCTTTTTCTTGTCATCTTTTCTTCTTTCCTCTTTGGCCCTTCTTTTGTCTTTCCCTCTGGTGTCGGTGTCTCCATTGGTGCTCACCTCCCTCGAGGCGGTAGCGACCTGTGGCGCTCGCTCGCCTTGGGTTTTGGAGATTTAGGCAAAGAGCACGAAACAAAGCAAAGAGCCAAGGGTAGAGGAGCGAAGGAGCAGCGGGAGCGGTGGCACTCCGGATCGTGTGCCTGTGTCCCGCCTGCCTTCCCAGCTGGCTGTCGCTCACACAAGGCGATGTGCCGCGGAGATTATGGCCACCAAAGCGGCGCAGCTCTTCCCTTTGTCCCCCTAAAGACCGGCCCTTGGCAACGCGCTCCCGCCGCTCGCGGTGGGTCAGGGGACAAAACGCACCCCGGCCGGGCCACGCTGGACCGCGCTTCCCCGGCTCGGAGGGGCGGCCGGCGGGGATGCATCCGCTGGGGAGAGGCAGCACCAGCGTGGCGATGCGTCCCCTGCCTGCGAAGGGCTCTGTCCTCCCCATAACTGTTCGGTCGTTCATCCTCCTGTCTGAACCTCCCCTCTTCCCGTGATTGATTCTTCCTCTCCGTGTTTCCTCCTCGGTGAAGCTTGGTTCTGGTGCGGTTTCACTTTGGTCCTTCTCCAGGCAGAGGAAAGGTGCCATCTCCCTCCTACAGATCTCGTGGCCAGAGAACCTCCGGCTGCCTTTCCCCAAACCTGGCTTGGGACTCGGCTGCTGCCCCCGGTCAGGGAAGCGGGGCGGCTGCCTGCCCCACGGCCAGCGGCGCTCGTGCTGGCGCAGGGATGGACTCCGCATCTCACCCTTCTCCGCTGCCCTTGCGGTGCTTTTTTCCTTTTGCAGCTGGTTAAGAACTGCAATGAGGGAGCTCGTGCTATGGAGAGGACAGAGCAGATGTACACCCTGCAGAAACAGCTGGAATTTGGGAAGAAGAAGGTGAGGAAGGGAAATCTCCTGGGGTGTGCTGTTGGAGTGGCTGATCCCTGGGAATCCTTCCAGCCTTGCCCAGCTGGAGCATCGCTGCCCCCGCCAGCAGCACCACCGCTTCATGCCCACCGTGACCATTTTTTTTCTTGCTGTTCTGTCTTAAATATAAGTCTCTGGGCACTTGGCCTGCCAGCTTGGACGGGT